CCATGTTTTGTAACATCCTGAACGCTCAGAACATGAACTACACTTTTGAAACCTAAGTAGCCAGAGACCTGTTTGGGTTTCAAAAGTAGACTCACATCATTTCACATATTTTACACTGAATTACAAGGTAAACTCCTACTATGAAAACAGGAAAACTCTACTGTTACTAAGTTCTACTGGCACAAGCTGAAGTGATAAAAATTATGCTTACTTGTAATGGCTTAAAATGACTGTAGATAAAACAATGATAGTACCATTTAAGTGCTAACTGAAGTCTAGAGAAAAGCTACAGTATGGATTTTAGGATTATCATCAATGGTTTTCTAAAAATATTAATTCAGCTGCATGCATACACAGACTCCCCACCTCATCAGTGCCTTGCGGTTGAATGCTCTACTTAAAAAGGAATGCAAAAGCTATGTGGGATGGTTTCCTCAAATTCAAACTACACAGCTTTGGGATTCATAGATAAATTTTAGTTAAGCCGCTCATTTCATGCTGTCTGTCCATTCTGCAGTTTTTTCCTTCCCTCACCTTTCTGCTTCAACTTCCCTGTCCTTTCATTTAAAGTACTATTAATGTCTACAGTGCAAGCACAATGCAAAGAGATGCACCCAGAAGACCCTCTGGCTATTAATGCACTTATTCAATAGCCATTTTCGACTTATTCCTACTTCTATATTCCTTCTTCCTTACTGTTCTCTTTTCAAGTCTTCAATCTCTTTTATCAGACTCCCATAACTACGCTACCAGAAAAAGCAAGAGAGTTCAAAAGTGTGTACAGCATACTCTACCATTATTCTTAGATTGTCAGATTAGACCTTTAAGAAATACATTGCAAAATAGAAAAGACAAGGGCAACTTTTCACTAATCTTTCAAGATCTCAGATGTGCAATGCACAATTGTATTCTCCACTCTCATCTTGCTTTTGTGTGTGTTGAAAATTATGTGGAATTGGACTAAGGGTAAGTGCTGCACCTTAAGTTATTTCCTCCTCACTCTCTTTTTTAGATTCCTCCCCTTTATAATGACTATGCATGTTTTTCCTTACTGGAAAATTAAGTTCCTGCTCCACTTCTCTCTCTTTCCTGCTTTCAACTCATAATAGAACTGCACTTTTTAGTGATAAACTTACTAATCCAAGCTGAGTGTGAAGAAATAAGTTTATGATCTTTTTAACCACTTGAGGGCAGCAAACTCTTACTCGTTAAAAACCACTTAATAAAATAAAATTACATTCAGGTTTAGAGAGATGTTACAGCATCCAAGAAGTACCATCATTTAAAGGTAGCAGGAAAACAATCGATTAAGCTGCTGTTTAACAATCTACTTAATACTCTTTCATTGATTAATTCAATCCAGGCACAATCCTGGGGCGTAATTTGAAAGTAATCACAGAAAAAGTCCAAAGAAGATAAGTCCACTTCTTACCAGATGGTGCAAGTGAGATATCTACTGAATACATTCTAAAAGCTAATAAAATTCAAATATTTTATTAATAACCTGGAAACTATTAAACAGGAAACAGAAGATCTGCAAGTATTTTAAAATAAGAAAATAAATGAACATTAAGTTCTAAAATCTGAATGTTTTAAAGATGACTGAACTCATGGGCCTGATATCTATCTGCATTTATCAAAACTAAGGTGCCAAATGCATCAGTCTGGGATCTTAAGTAACACTTCTTGCTTTTTATGCATCTCTGTTAGTAACAAAAACTACAACTAAACTGAGCTCTCCATTAGATTCAGGTAGCCTCATTAGCCAACCTGTAATTCAAACAGGTTGAACCAAGAACTCAATATGTAGACCCCCAACTAATACGCACTTCAGACCCCTCTCAAGAAACAGCACGCTGTCTTACCAAGCAACTACTATCAATGCACCAATATGCTACAATATTCTGAACAGCTTCCCAAAGTTGTTGTTCTTTACAGTGTCTCTCGTTTGAGCCTATGGTAACAGAGAATGGATCAAGAACCAGAGGAGGAATTAATGTTTGTCCTCCTCTCTTCTTTCACTTCCTCTATTAAAACAAACAAGCAAGATTTTTTCTTTTTTTCCCGCCAGAAACTAACAAGAACTACAGATTCCCTTTACCAAAGGCAAAGGGAGCATTATCCACTACGGGAATGCATTCTAGAGGACAAAAGAAAATTACATTTCTTTCTTCAAAATAAAGGGGGTTTATTTGTTTAAATGCAGATCAAATACCAAGATACCAAGAGGTAACACTGCACTGCGTTTTGGTAAATTCTAATGCAATCTGAAAGGTCCTGAGTGCCCTCAGCTTTTGCACGATTTTGCACGGTCAAGTCTATTGATGGCACTTCTGTGTGAACATAAGACAACAGGACAGAACAGTTTCAAATGCAATACTACTTTTAACTACCAATTCATAGGAGTTATGTAGCCCAAAAAGGCTACCCAGTAGTATCCTACCTCTCCTAGAAGCAATCAATAGCTTCAGCTACTCTCTCCATTCTGAAGTCATGAACATAACTTTTTGCACTTCTGCCACCTTTTTCAGCTTCTGCATCTTAACTCTTTATTCTGACCATCTATCAACAGTCTGATGACTCTTTTCCCTGTCCCTCCCTCCCACAGTGTGGAAACTCTGCTTTTTCTCTAACACTCACAAAACCAAACCAAAACACACAATAATTTAGTCCTTTCACATAACAAACCAACTAACCAAAACCTCCTCTTTTCATTGAAATCCATCACTTACATGCATGCAGACACAGTGTGGCACTACTCTACTGGGAAAGTAATCAAATCTTGCAATTAGTTCTGTAAAGAGGAGTGACGTTACTGTCTACATGGAAGCCTAGTCCCCATCCATCCCCCCCCAATATTTAAATACACACAAATTAAAATAAACCATACATTGTTGGCTTACGGCTTACAAAACATATGCAAACTATCTTTCAGCAAGTTATTAAAAGGCATTACCACTGATCATGGAAAAAAAAAAACAACGAAACAAACCACAAAACAAAACATGTCACACACACAAAAAAAAAGTCTCAGGAGACCATTAATTTTTCATGGAAATCAAAGACAATTGCAACTGATTGATGAACTCATCAAATATTAACATGGAAGTTGAAAGGTAATAAAAGGGCAAGAGACTTGTGCATATTCAATACACACTGAACACTCACGTAGCAATATCGCATAGCCCTGTCTTCCATCACTAAGTAATGCTAGAGCAAAAGACAAATGTGGTGTTCATCTGGAATTAATAAAGTGAGCAGTGTCTAGCGCTCTTGTCATTGCTTAATACTGGAAATCGATCTGTCATTAATTTAAGATTTGTAATGCAATGTAATGCTGTCGGGGAGAAAAATATCCATGAATACAAAGCACTTGAAATCTGAAGTAAATGTATCTTTTACGTTGTTAGTACAAGCTAAATTTAATTTGATGCACTCTACAATTACAAAACATATTCTTCAAGTCAACGTCCAATGACAGGGAAATAAAGCTCATCTTCCTTATTATGTTTATGTCATCGCTGCAATAATCAAATCAAGAATTCCTAAAAGAATTCCTGAAACTCCTACAAAGACTAAATAAGGAAATTTGATTTAAATACTATGGAACAAATAAAACTAGTAAGTGTGAATTTTAGTAGCTAATCAGCTACAACTTATTTAAAAGAATACATCTATAGAAACATACTGATGGAGGCTTTCACTGTCTATCTCCAACAGTGTGTCTAATAACATATTATCTTTAAACAAAGTTAAGTTAGCCAAAACATAACTATGTGTTTTCAACAATCATTTCATTTCAGACTGCTAACTTGTTTCCTGTAAAAAATGGCTGTAAAATTGTTGAAGACAATACTTATAACCAATGCAATTCACCACAAAAACACAAGAGACAAGTCTGAAGAATTCACTGTAAAAAAAAGATCTGTGGTCTAAAGGTATCTTATTGTATTAGGAGGACTACTTAAGAATTGTAATAAATTATCAATAAATTGGAATGGTATCTTTAATGCACTGACATTGGACATTTCACATGTATAACCATTTAACAAAATGAACTACTGGGAAAAGTTCCAAATACACCATATAACAAACGATTACAGAAAAGTTTGCATTACACTTGCTTTGAAAGAAATATTTATCTAAAGAGTTAGAATAATTTTATATATTTTTCAGGAATAACTTTGATGCAATGAAATCCTACAACTAATAAAAGGTGGGGAAGATGTCCCTTATCTGAGCTCAGTAAAGCAGACTGAGTTCTCTCTCCTTCCAGCTTGAGGCAAGATCTGCGAGAGAGCATTTAAGAAGCAGAATACTTCCAAATTATAGTCATGGTTTACCACAGCCCAGGAAGAGCCCAAGAAAAGACAGATTTGAAGTAACAGATAAGAGTTTGGAATAAAGCAAGATATAGATACTGTGCTGTATGTTAGTTTTCATAGCTTTAAAGCCAGTGACACATCCCTCTTCTTTTTTGGAATAGACTTGTTTTTGTCTTTAAACACAGTGTTAAAAATGCATAGACAACAGGTGATAATCAGAGTACACCATTGCTCTGGATGCACTCAATTCATATTTGAATCCTGCGCACAGGCAGACCAGCATGCTGCCAAACCAAAGGTACATTTAGGAATCCTGAGAATTAAGGTGTTTTCTGCTAGGGTCAAGTTTCACACTCATTGTTGTGAGAAAAAAATTATTGGGAAAGTTTCTCTTATTAAGGTCAAAAATGAGAGAGCTTCTGAAAAGAGGCAAACTACGTATACAAACAATAGAATAGCACTTGCAAAGTTAAAGAAATGCACACTAAATTGACCAGGGAACAAGATTCAAACATAAGCAACTTACCTTGGTTGAATTTCAAGAAAAGTGAGGTGGAAGAAGGAAAGACCCTAACTTACTTTAAGCTGTGCACAGGCATGGAACTTTTTATATGTAGTGAGAAAGCATGTTAGCATGCACGCGTTAGAGAGCACGAGTCATTCACAATTGCTTACCCAAGATTCATGGTACAAAACTGTGAGGAGGTGTATGCCATAATCATAGTTCTGTCTTCTTAGTGGACACCTGAAAATTCATAAACAAAGCAAGTCTTTTTGAAATCAAGACACTGTAATATCCTTTTGAACAAAATGTTAAACTTACCATCCTAATTTCTAATGTAGAGAATCGTAAGGAAATGTGTATTTGATTCACACACATTTCTGAATTACACATAATCAAGAATAACATCACGAAAGCATGAGTATGAAGAAGATGGAAGAATGGGCATCTGCAAGTCAACAGGAAAATGTACAAAATGCAAGAATCTACAGATCTTCAGAAAACACTAAAAATTTCTTTGCCCTCTATGTCACAGTGGAATCCAACATATGTTAGTCTGAACTCCCTTAAAACCTGATTTTTTTTGTCCCCCAGACCTGAAAGGAGGAGGATGACTGGTAAAAATAGCCATGAAATACAGTTCAGAACAGCAGATCTAGCCAACGATTTAAGAAAAGTTTAAGTTAACGTAGCTGTAAGTCAAAGCTGGACCACCAGCAAAACTTGTCGGGTAAGACACCATTCTGCAAAAACTGTGTATTTCTTAAAAGTAGTCATCAAAACCTTCTGCTGAGAATTTGATAACATTAATCTCTTCCTCGTGCTGACCAGCCATAACCTCCTGTCTCTTTCTCACACTCATCTCTTCCTGAGGGTTCCTTCACGCCCCTTTTTGATGTACAACAAACTGAATCATGCGAGACTACATCTGAGACACTCTAAAAACCACTCATCTGAATGACTATGGACTATGACTATTCTAGCAAATAAAACTGTAAAAGGATTGAAGCTTTTGACTTGTATTTCCATAGTGAAAGAGCCTCAGCTTAAAAGTAATCTAAATAATAGCCTGGAAAATCCTGTATTAAAGAAATGGATACCACGCACAGCTCGGGCCTTAAAATTTACTAAAAATGAAGTGAAATATCAACAGGTACATCAATAGTTTCTTCTGGAATACAGCACAAGACCATTCACAGATGTTCTAGAGGGTAAGCTCCTTTCAGGTCTCCTAATGTTTAAGCCACAAAATAAGACTTGCTAGGGAAATGAAACTGTTGGTAGCACAAGTGGTCCCAGTAAACTACCCAGATTTCCAAGCCTAGTAAAAAAAGATATGCACAATTTTATCAATTTTTTATTTATTTTATGTAGTATAGAACAGTATATCATACCAAAGGACAGGAAATTTAAGAGGGGAAAAAGAATTCAAAAAAACCCATGCAAACAGAAAAGACTACCAATAATGTTTTTCCTATCACTGAAAGCAGCTGTGAATTCAAGTGTATCGTGAATTTAGGAATATATATGTATTCTCTTAAAAGCTTCACAATTCAACAAAGAAGACATGTTTCTCCAATGCAGCCTTCTAAGCATAACTGTAAATAACTACAGAGATTTATTTATATCTAGAAGATTAAAACATTGAGAAATGTCTGGTCACTGATGTAATTTTTCTTGCCTGAAACTCTTCACATCACTGTTAAAACTAACAGAACCCATTGGTTCTGTTGGTAAACATGACAACTACTTTAAAATAACATTTGAAACTTCTAAATGCAGAGCTTCAGTAACTAACAATGTTTAACAAATATTAGGTTTGACCTTATGTGATTTGTCCATTACAATTTTAACAGTTAATAACAGGAGTAACTGGTATGTTTAAGTCATATTTTAGCCTTAAAAATATAATAATTTGCTGTGGTGGGTTAACCTCGGCTGGACACCAGATGCCCATCAGGCCGCTCTATCACTTCCCCTTCAGCAGAATAAGGGGAAGAAAATTAGATGAAAAACTTGTGGGTTAAGATAAAAGCAGTTTAATTAAAGCAAAAGCCAAGGCCACACATGGAAGCAAAGCAAAAACAAAGATTTTATTCTTTGCTTCCTATCAGCAAGCGACGTCCAGCCACTTCCCGGGAAGTAGGGCTTCAATACGCATAGCAGTTGCTCCCAGAGACAAACGTTGTAACAACAAATGCCCCCCTCCTTGTCCCGCCTTCCCGTAGCTTTTATTGTTGAGCTGATGTCATATGGTATGGAATATCCCCTTGGTTAATTTGGGTCAGCTATGTCCCCTCCCAAGATCCTGAGGCCCGGAACCTACTGGGGGGGGGGCGGGGGTTGGGGGGGCAGCCTTGATGCTGTGTGAGCGCTGCTAAGCAGTAGCCAAAACACTGGTGTTATCAACACCTTTCTAGCTACCAGTGCAGCACACAACGCTAGGAGGGCTGCTATGGGGAAACTAACTACATGTCAACCAGAACCAATACATTTACCAAGACAATAACTGGTATTACTGGAAGACATCCATCCCTTTCTATACTGTGACCATTGCTACAGGCATTTTTTTTCCTTTTTGTAACCGTACCTGTCCGTCGTAATTGTGAGCGTATCTGTATCCTTACAGTACCGCTCTCCTACAAGTTTAATGAGCTTCTTCTTTGCATGGTCATCCAAATTCAGGTTAGAAAGTTTAACCTTCAAGTACAAGAGAAAACACCTTTAGTTACTTGGATAAATCCAATCTCTGCACCCTGAAAATATTTTCAGATAGTTATAGGCACATCTTTTATCAAGAATTAAAAGGATAGCTGTTAAGTACACATTTGCAGAATTTCTTCTGACTGTATGACATTTCAGAAGTCTTAACAACAACGCAAATATAATCTGAATATTCAAACAATAAATTTCTTTTCATCCGAATACCAGAAGGGCTGGGGAAGAATATTTCTACTCAAAAGTTTTTCCAGAGGAAAAAAGAGCTGTCAGTTTAGTTTGTAGCTGTACTTCATATTCATGTGTACTTCCTATGGAAAAATAAATCTTTTTTAGATTTTTTTTTTTAATACAGATCAGTAAGGCTAATACTAAGATATCTCAAAGATATTTATTACAAGTATCCAAAAGAGGAGGAAAGACTCAAGAGAGATCAAACGAGAATTTTCAAAGTCATTACTGGGAGATTAACAGAAGTATGCAAAGATGCACACAGAACAGACCAGAACTGTCTGATCTCGCGTAATTTATCAAACAACAGTGTGAATGGCTTGTCTTCTGTTCCAGTACCAGAAAACCCACAAACATAAGATATACAACAAATAACTAGTATTTATTTAAAAAAAAAAATCTCTAAAAAGTTTTCTCTAAAAACTAGTCTGAACCTAGTTTCCATATGCAATAACAAGTATAAAAAGTAAAGCAATCTGGTTTTAGCTGTTTACACAATAGCAAATAAGAAGGCAGTCTAAAGATACATGGTGTTGGAAACATAAGTTTCTATTAAGTGAGAGTTGCTGAGGAATATTAACAACATGAAGTTTCTTACTAATTTGTCTGCTGTTTGTTTTTTTCTCTATATTCTTTCTACTGTGTCATTGCTGTACTAAAGAATGGTTCAAAAATCAGGAAACCTGCATCAGAAAACTAACAAAAGTTGAAGGACTAAAAGAAATTAGAAGCTCCAACAAATATCAGGAAAAAAGTACTACCTGAAAAGAAAACTGAGATACTAAACCTAAATATGACAAGGGAGGAAACAACAGGGTTCCAGTGCTGAAACTTCTCATCCTGAAAAAACCCCTAACATTCATTACTCCATAGATAATATGAAAAATATCTCCTTTTCAAGGAATTACATGCTCATTTACTATGCATGCCAAGAATACTGGTGAGCAGAAGCTCACCAGTTCACATTTCGTAGATTGGAAGGGACCTTAAAGATCATCTAGTTCCAATCCCCCTGCCATGGGCAGGGACACCTCCCACTAGCCCAGGTTGCCCAAAGCCTCATCCAGCCTGGCCTTGAACACCTCCAGGGATGGGGCATCCACAGCTTCTCTGGGCAACCTGTTCCAGTGTCTCACCACCCCCACAGTATGAATTTGTTTCTAATATCAAGTCTACATCTGCCCTCTTCCAGTTTAAATCCATTACTACTCATCCTGTTGTTACATGCCCTTGTAAAATGCCCCTCCCCATCTCTCCTGGAGGTACCATCCTGTACCCCCTTCAGGTACAGGACGGTTGCTATTACATCCTCCCAGAGCCTTCTCTTCTCCAGGCTGAACAGCCCCAACTCTCTCAGCCTGTCCTCATATGGGAGGTGCTCCAGCCCTCTGATCATCTTTGTGGCCCTCCTCTGGACCCACTCCAACAGCTCAATGTCTGTCTTGCATTAGGGGGCCCAGAGCTGGACGCAGTACTCCAGGTGGGGTCTCACAAGAGCAGAGTAGAGGGGCAGAATCACCTCCCTCAACCTGCTGGTCACACTTCTCTTGATGCAGCCCAGGATCCAGTTGGCTTTCTGGGCTGCAAGCGCACACTGCCGGCTCATGTTCAGTTTTTCATCTATCCACACCCCAAATCCTTCTGCTCAGGGCTGCACTCAAGCCATTCTCCACCCAGCCTGTATTTGTGCTTGGGATTGCCCTGACCCATGTGCAGGACCTTGCACTTGGCTTTGTTGAACTTTGAGGCTGGCGTGGGCCCACCTCTCAAGCCTGTCCAGGTCCCTCTGGATGGCATCCCTTCCCTCCAGCATATTGACTGCACCACATCAGCTTGGTGTCCATCCACAAACTTGCTGAGGGTGCACTCTATCCCACTGTCCACGTTGCTGACAAAGATGTTAAATAGCACTGGTCCCAGTACCAATCCCTTAGGAACACCACTTGTCACAGAACCCGTGGATGGATCTTTTCAGATCCCATGGGCTTGTGCACCTTCAGGTTCTTTAGATGGTCATTTTTTCAAATCTAATTCTATCAGACCTGTTAGGTGCATCCAGCCTTTAAGGCAATGGTCAAGCTGTAGGCAAACAGCTCTATTATTAGTGTGACCTAAAATGACCACGAACAATCACTTTTGAAGGCAGTATACTTCCAAGATCGCTTCTGCACATATCATCCCGTTGTAAGGGTCTGGCAGCTTGTGCTCAAGGCTGCCTTACATACAGTGCCCTTCCATACAGTATAGCCATGTAGCCTTGAATCAGTGTTGACAAAAAAAGGAGCTATGAGAAGGTGGGCCTGCCCTGCCTTTACTGAGAAGCTGCAACTAAGCTGAGGCACTCAAGCCTCAGTCTCTGCCTGAACCACAGTGCAGCTATGTCTGGGCCTAGCCATGGCCCACACAGACCCAACCCCGATGCCCATCCTTGACTTCCTGGCTTGAACTCACCTACTGCATCGCTGTGGATTGGGTTGACAATCACCAGACTGTTGACTGACCATAGTTATTGTCACCAGACCCAATCCTGACCCACTGACTTGTCTTCCCGCTTCGACTTCAAACTTGCCTTACCATGAACTTGTCCAGTGATTCCTGGGCTGTTGGATGGATGAGGTTACTATTACCAGACCTGTCCTGCTCACCTTGCTCAGGCAGTAGCTGCACTCTTTTTGGGGAGGTCGCTGCCCCTGCCTGCCTCACTACCCTTGGATCACCTTCCATTACAGAACAGCCTACCCTCACTGCTGGCTGGAAATGCTTGCCCAAACTGATGACAAATACCTTTCTGTAAAACATATTTTCTTAATATTGTCTTTCTCTAACATTCACAGAAAGAAAGAATGCTCCAACTCTAAAGAGTTTCAGGCACAACTGTCTGGCAAGCATACAACTGCTGGTGCACGTAAGCGCTTTATGACCATGAGTATCTAAACTTAATGGGATACTCCAGCCCACATGTCCTGCATTAGGTCACTTGAACCAACAACGCAAAACAATGTCATTGAGTAGTACTTTTTCACTGTCTTAAAAGGATGGCATTATCATAGTTGGATCATGCTGCCTTCATACAGTGTGATTATCTGAAATTCACTGTTAATAAAGCTATGATTTTATTCCACACGACTTGCTTTTCCTACAAAAACTAAAACGCTATCTGGTCTGTTGCCTAAATTACAGGATCACAAAAAAATGTGTTGTTTTTACTAATCCAAAGTCACTTTAAAGTGAAAAATATTTATATGGCTTCTTGTTTCAAAATGGGACAGCAACTGGACAACTTATAATTGTTAGCTGGAATGTTGCAGACTATTTTATGTTTAATTTAGAAAAGTTACAGCTCCATAAAGAACAGCAGTTGATTTAAAAAGAAGTTTCATTTAACATCCTGTAGTACTATGTTGTCTGGCACAACATGGACAATTGGGAATAGACTAGGATAAATTTAATTACAAGAACTACTGGCATTAGACTACAAGAGATGAAAAGTTATCATCTCCAGTATGATGCCTGGCAGAAAAAAGGCATAATTTTTAAATTAAGATTTAAAATGTTTAACTTTTAAATAATATTTAAAGAAGAAAATCTTTATCATGAAGGTCCACCAAAGAGTCTATCACAGTTGGTAACACAGCACACAGTAAATGCTCTTTTCATTGATACAAACTCAACCACTATCTGGCCCAGTGCCATCTGCTTTCACCTTTAAATCCTTCTCTTCCCCCTCCCTTGGTAGATTTTGTTGTCAACAGATTAATCAGAGGATTAATTAGAGAAATAATTTATTAATGAAGTCTGGGATCAGAACACCAATAACTGAAAAAGCATATGGACAGTTGTTCCATTTTTGTCTCCCACTCCAACCCCTCCTTTTTTTAATATACGTGCATAATACACATCCACATAATGCCTTGCAAGTACCATGGCCAGTTAACATTAATGGACAGATTTAGACAGGATAACACAGACATGCTTATTTGTGTGTCATTTTGAATTATTCTCTCCACTGCAGCATAGCTAACCCCTAGTCCAACAGCTTGTGTCTCAAGAGCCACATCTAACAGAAGACAGTTATATTCAATGTTTTACATGATTTAGAAAGCAAGAAATGTACATACACTCACTACCTGCTGTTTTTAATGGGAAGAGATTCAAGGTTGCTTATCTGAGCAGCTGAGCTCTTTCCCCTACACTGACCTGCAAACGTCAGTATTACTCCACCTGAGACAACTAAATATGGGAACAAGGAAGGTGCAATGTGTGCCTCTTCCTGCACACATTCACAACCCAGCATGAAGTCAGGGGCTTCTGTTCTCACAGATACACTCCATTCCCTTTAATTTCTAATGCATACAAATTAGTGAAAATTTGGTCTCAACCATGGATCTGAATTAGGAGATGAAAGGCTAAAACTCTAGCATGCTATGACTACAAGTGGTATGAAATGTATATTTCAGTCAATGACAGGCCAAATTAAATTTCAGCCCCAAAGGTTTTACAACATAAAGTGGAGACTCCTACAGGCAAAACAAACCACTACTCTTCAAAGCTGCCATGACTAGATGTCGTAAAGGTGTCATGAGCATGTGGTATCATGCAGTATTTGAACTTCTATATTGACAGAGTAACAACACAACTATCACTGTCCCCACTGCTGCTGTTGCTCTTAAGATAGGCTCAAATCTCATCTCAAAATGCATGTTCAAAAGCCACAGCACAATCCTAACTTTACTACCACGAAGAGAGGCAAGCACTGGAACAGGATGTCCAGAGAGGTTGTGCAATCACAGTTCTGAAGGTTTTCGAGACCCAACTGGATAAAGTCCCAGGGAACCTGGTCTGATCTCATACCTATCTTACTTTGTGCACAAGGTCACTCTGGAAAACTGAATTCCCTTCTAACCTCAAGTACCCCATGATCCTATGATCAGAAGGCTGCTGCTCCTACTGCATACACATTGGTGCCTGAAGGTCTGCCAACTCAGTACTCAGTAATAGCGCCGCATTCATATGACCTGTCTTTCAATACTTGTGCATTTCTAGGGTCCATAAATTAGCAATAAGAGTCTAAGCAAGACATTAAGCACAAAGGCACTTACAGTCTTTGCTACAAGTGGATTCTTCAGAAGGTATGTTATTTTGTTCATATCAGAGCTTAGTCTTCATTTATAAATACACATCCATGAACTTACAACCTCAGCTCTAACATGCTGCAATATACTTAAGGAAATCCACTGCTTTTTATTCAGACATTCAGTAAACCATTTCCTTCATTTCCTTACAACATAACCCACTTGCACATGTTTTGAAAAGAAAGCCAAGTATCTGGATTTTTGAAACAAAGGCTGTTTACCAAAAATACTACTTACTCTTAAAGTCACCACTCTTGCTTTGGGGTTACGAATAGATGTCCCTGAAGAAACATAATCTACCGTTTCAATTTCAATGGGAAAATGCTGCTCACACTTCTCATCACTGTCCAAAGCACTTGGCCACTCAGTGCAAAAATCTGTATAATAAAGCGAAAACACGCCAAGTAATATCTGCTGGGTTTTAGTTTTTTGGTTTTTTTTTTTTTTTTGGTAAATTCATTGCAATATATCTTTTTAAAGTACTATTTATAGAAATCATACTCATTTAGATAACAGCAGGGTCTCTGCTAGACTTGCTCCAGTACTTCAATGCTTCAATGTTTTTCTTTGTACTGGACTTCCCAAAACAGGATACAGTGCTTCAAATGGAGTCTCACAACTGCCAAATAGAATCATAGAATGGTTTAGTTTGGAAGTGACCTTCAAAGATCACCTAGTCCAACCCACCCACCATGGGCAGGGACATCTTGCACTAGATCAGGCTGCTCAAAGTCCTGTCCAACCTGACCTTGAACTCATCCAGTGATGGGGCATCCATAGCTCCTCTGGGCAGGGTCTTCCAGTGTCTCACCACCCTCATGATAAATGTCTTCCTTGTGTCCAATCTAAATATCTAGCCTCTTCCAGTTTAAAACCATTGACTCCTGTCCTGTCACTACAGGCCTTGGTAAAAAGTCTCTCCCCATCTTTCTTCTAAGTCCCCTTTACACACTGAAAGGCAACAGTAAACTCCCCCAGAGCCTTCTCTTCTCCAGGCTGAACAACCCCAACTTTCAAAGCCTCTCTTCACAGGAGAGGTGTTCCAGCCCTCTGGTCATTTGTGTGGCTCACCTCTAACAGGTCCACATCTTTCTTGATGTTCCAGAAGAACTGGATACAAGACTCAACAGAAGGAAAAGAATTAATTTCCTGAATGTGGTGGCTACACTCTTGTTAATACAACCCAGTATGCAGTTAGTGTGTCCTTGTGGCGAGGAAGGCTGCCGTCTTATGGTCAACTTTCAAATGCCCACCAGGCTCCACATGGCCTTTTCTGCAAAGCTTCTATATAACAGTTTGCCTGCCCCAACATCCCCCCTGCCTGTACGGCTGCATGGGCTATTCCATCCCAGAGGCAGGTCTTTACAGTTGCTTTTGTTTAACTTCATGAGGGTCCTTGCAGCAGATTTTTTTACTGCCTGTTGACAACCGTCTGAATAGCAGCTCGGCTCTCCAATGTATCACTTGTTCCCCCTCAATTCGTTATTATCTGAAGACCTGCTGAGGTTGTGTTCTCTACCATTACCCAGATTGTTATAAAGCCTGTTTTCACATACTTGGAAATGGCTTCCAGGAAGGTTTGCTTCATAAGCTTCCAGGGAATGTGGTGAGGCTGACTGACCTGCAGTTCCCTGCATCTTCCTTCTTGCCTTTCTTGAAGATGGTCAGGCAAAAATATCCTCTTCCTCCTGGGTAGTCATTACCTCCTTCCACTTTCTGTGTACTTCCTTTTTGCATCTCGGGTCACTCAGGAGTTCCCCGCACACCCATGCTGTCCTTCTGACATATTTGCTCAACTGTCTGCACACTGGAGTGTACCATTCTTGCTCTTTTACGGAGGTTGAACTTAAACATCCACCAGCTCTAGTGGGCCACTTGGCTCCCCAGAATGTTCCCCATGATGTATGCCAAGCAGATCCCAGAATAAATCAAAATCACTCTCCTGAAGCCCAGACTGTAGTTCCACTGTCTGTCTTGCTCACTTCTCTCAGGATTTTAAGCACCACAGTTTCATGACCACTGTTACCAAGGATGCCCCTAACCTTCACATACTTGACCAGTTCTTCCTTGTTTCTGAACAACAAACCCAACAGAACATGTCTTCTAGTCAACTCATTGATCATCTACATGGAGAATTACCTTCAATACGCTATTTGCCATCCTCACTTCTCTCAAGATCTAAAACTCCACGATCAAAATCCCAATCAAGGCTGCCATCAACCTTTACATCTTCAACCAGTTTTTCCATACTTGTGAGTAGCACGTGCAACACAGCACCTTCTCATAGACAGTGTGTCCAGAATCTGCATCAAGAAATTATCTTTAACCTTCTCCAGAAATCTCCTAGGTTGCTTGCATCCCATCCTGTTACCCTTCTAGCAGATGTTGGAACACCTGCAGTTCCCCGTGGAAACCAAAACTTGCAGTTGTGAGGCTTTTTTCAGCTGTTCATCCACTTCTTCTTCTCAACCAGGTAGTCTCTAGCAAATGCCCACCAAGACATCCTTTTTGGCTTCTCCTCTGATCCCAACTCTCAAATTCTTGACCAGCTTGCTACGCATCTCATTGCAAAGCTCCGTATCTGAGCTGTTCTTTTCGGTACAGCTCAGCTCCTCCTCCACATCATCCCTGCCCATAACTCAATCATACAAGCTTTCACTCTGCATTTGTGTGATGATTCAGGCTTCTAATTCTTCCTGTTTCCTATGCTGCGTGCATTTGCATACAGGAAACTCAAGACAGGTCTTGTATCTTTTATCACACAGGCTGAGGGGAGACCTTATCACTCTCTACAACTGCCTGAAAGGAGACTGTAACAAAGTGGGTGTCGATCTCTGTTCCCAAGTAACAAGCAATAGGACAAGAAGAAATGGCCTCAATTTGCACCAGGGGAGGTTTACACTAGATATTAAGAAAAAATTATTCAACGAAAGGGTTGTCAAGCATTGGAAGAAGCTGCCCAGGGAAGTGTTTGAGTCACCATCCCTTGAGGTATTTGAAAGACGTGTAGACATGGTGCTTAGGGACATGGTTTAATGGTGGATTTGGTAGTGCTAGGTTAACAGTTGGACTTGATGATCTTAAGGGTCTTTTTCAACCTAAATGATTCTATGATTCCATCTCCTCCCTGCACCCTTGTGCCTTCACTTCTCTCTGGGCTAACCATCTCATTAAGTTCTCCTTATTAGCTTGCTGGCTGGCAGAGATGCTCTTGGTCTTCATTAGATCCTGTATCTCCCCAGCAGACCTTGCTCTCACAGAGGGTTTAATTTATTAATAGCTTTATTTTCAAATGCATGCCAGAATGGCTACTGATTAAACCCTGGTTTAATCACAGATAATTTTCAGAGAACAGAGTCGCATTCATCTTCCCTAAGACATTAAACTATAAATTCTCCAGTACAAGCAAGGCCTAATGGAGAGGTAAAAGTAAAGTCTCACTGGTGTGCAGAAAAGCTCCCAAGACATACCTGTCCACCACCCGTATAACTCAATGCATCAACAAGAAAGCATATAATACTAGCCAAAGCCTGGCAAATAACCAGGTGGATCATGTCTCACCCTCTCCTTCATCACACACAGTTAAATTTTGTGTTGTCTTAAAACTCCAAGAGAGATGGTTTTTAAAAACAGAAAAAAAGAAAAAAACAACAACAAACAAAAAAAATCCTCACCTTTAAGAGCTGCACAGTGTTTCTTAATTGCAGGAGGAGTAAGATGCAAAAAATTGGGAATCTGAAACAGATGTATTAAGAGTTACCAAAATAATAGCTTTTTGTCTGTTCATAAATAAAGGGGCATTACTGAAATCTGATTACACTTTTAACATTTGTTAAGGTAGTACAATGTGCTTAACAAAATATTCAGGTAATGACTCTTCTCAAGTCTGATTTAGCAAAAGACTTAAGTTAAGCCCCATAACAAAACTCACAGGCATGATAATACTAAAAGTCTCCTGGCTTTGTTCATTTGTTACTTACACTTTTATTTGTTACCATCTAATTTGGAAATTATAGTATTATCATATTTAATAACAAAAAACAGTAACCAATACAAATATTCCCATCAAAGCAGGGCATTCTCACTGAATAATTTCAAAAGTTGTCTCACACCAATGGCATGCATCTTACCTTTATAAGTTCTAAGTTGCCTTCTTTTGGTGGAGGCACTCCTCTCTTCACTGGGTAACCCATTCGAATTGGGAGAGGCACAGAGGCAGGTTTAAACGCAGCTGCTGTTGGATAAACACTGCTCCAGTCCTGATCAACAGCCATCCTCTCAGTCCTGGGAGGTGCATGCTAATAAATTGAAAATTACAAAAGTTTGATGGGAGACATGCTGTTTTGTGAGACAAACCAGGAGCAACACACAAAAAAAGTTATTTCAGGAATAAATTACCACAGCTAGAAATTCCAAGACACATTTACATCAAAGGTTAGTGCTCATTTGTAAAGGAATTTTTAAAAGATAGCCTCTCAAAGCTCGGGTAGCAGGCCTTTCCCGACCTTCAATTGCATTTTATTTCAGGAATGCTTAGAAAGAAGAACTTACCATCTTCTTGTGTTGTAGTAAGTCAGCAGGGGGAGGAAGGGGAATCAAACCAGTATTTAATTGCAAACCCTATTTTCTAAAGTGCCTAAGCATTTGGTGTGGTCAAGAAAATGAGTTTTAAAATTATGGAATTCTGAAAGTCTGAAAAAGTTCATGTTAAAATAAATAGATATTAATAACTCTGAAATTACTTGCCATAGAAATTCCAGTATGGGAACAATACATTACTGTATTGCAGAAATAGCTTATATCCTTCAATAACTGACCAAGGTTTCAGCCAAATGCTCTTTAAAAAAAAAAAAGTCATTGTTTCTTTCCCCGAACCCTTAATTTTTAATTTAGAAGTGTAAAAGACAAATGGATATATGCAGTCAACTGGTCTGCCTGCTTTGGTGTATCGTTAAATCTACTCTCGGAAGTTAAACAAAAATTTAATACATGCCAGGCCCACTTTCACTATTTGCCTTCAAAAGTTATAACACACAATATACTAGTTTTGAAATTTATGTATGGAATAAACAAGAAAATTCTAATTGATTAAATGTTCAGATATTAGTTTTAATTTTAATGTGCAAGAACAATTTCATTAATGCACAATAACAGATTTTTTTAATTACGCCAGAAAGCAACCACTACGAATCCTGTAAATTCATACTGAAAACAACATTAAAATGTCTGGGTTTATTTTAAATGCAACTTGAAGTTACTTGTAAGACCTGCAGTACATGGCGTCAATACAAGCTAACTGTTAGCTTGTTATTGCTAATGTTTTTCCCTTTATGAGAACACAGACAGAAAACAGTTGGGAGATGAAAGAAACTAGGTGCTGCTTCTGGAATAGTCACAGTAGATTGTTGCACCAGGTTTAGACTGCAGAAGGGGTACCTGTACAAACTGATAAGGCACATAGTTGAGAGAACTTTTTCAACCACCTCCGAGTTAACTGCAAGTAGTTTCAGTACTTACTGGTCTTATGAACTGTGGTGTCCTGCCTCTTCTCCTTGTTGAAGCTAAAAGAAAAAAGAAATATTTTCCAAAACAAACTATTGTACAGTTTTGTGGAAAAAAAAAAAAAAGCAGCATAATGGCGTATGCTTTTTTTTTCTTCTACAACAACAACATACACTACTACTTCCCCATCTTTACATGGAAGAAAGGAAAGATGAGATACTCATGCTACAGATTCCTCATTTATTTTTTGAAACTTAAGACAAAAAACAGCTTGAAAGGTATTTCATCTGGGTCTATCCTAGAAATGTGTTAACAACAATTTAGTGGTTACACGCCTGAATGCATTTTGCTATCATCATTTATTCCAGCTTGATGCAGGAAGAAAGAAAAATTAGATGAGTGAAAGGACACTTTCGCCTTCCTAACTGTGCTTCCTGTCCTCTTTCCCACACAGCTGTTAAGCCACAAATCACTCTTCATGAGCAGTACAAAACAGCTAAACCCAGGAGTTTATTATTACTAAAAGGAAAATCCCATGGCTCCATCCCTTTCTTCTGACAGCACATTGAACTGTTTGTCTTCTTGAGCTGGGGACAGGGAACAAACCAACGGGTTTGTTTTCTGCTATTTTACCATGTTGATCTGGCTTACTGAGCAGTCCCAGAGAAGATGCAACAAAAAGAGAAAGAGTTTAGTCCCTTTGAACAGGCCTGAGCCACCATTTACCTCAACATTTAGCCAACTGACTTCAGCTGGAGTGGTGGTGCGGGACTCATACAGATACATGAAGATACCAAATACCACTAGATTTTCAATCTAACCAGAGAACTTCACTTACCTGTCTTCATTTCCTCCTGCCCCTCAAACTCTAACTTAATCACTTTCAAACTCCTCCCCCAAAACACCACCAAAACAATGTGGCCTTTATAGCAATCAGATAAATGAAGGTAAATCTGATCACATTTATTTTCAAGTGTCCTGTTTGGCCTTGGGGTTTTTTTATTTGTTCATTTAGTTTTTAACTGTTACCACAATACAATACAATACAGTATATATTTAGCAAAAAACCTTGAATGGGATTTTAGGAGTGGATGTTTGGGTTCTCTCTGCCTCATAAATTTGTCTTACAACCCTACCCCACATGGAAAAACTTGAGAATTTCACAGTTCTTTTGTTCTCCTTATCTAAGTATTTTATGGAGCCAATTCTGTTCTTCCCCTTCTTGCTATATAAAAATTTAAACTTAAGAATACATACAGGGCTCTGCAAGAGATAACATACAGCATTCTTTTATCCCTTGATCTACCATTTTTGTGGTGCTTTCACAAACAGGCACACTTCATTCATAGCACTCTTTTTTCTGTTACAAACACGTACAGTTTCAGGTCAGAACACCTTTTAGTCCTGCAGTGCCAGAGGCCCAAACATCAGATACCACTTAAAGGCCCTTTCAGCATCTTAGCCTGCTCCTGAATCCGCAGGTGACAAATGTCCACCCAGCCTTTGGAAAAATCTCGGCACAACCGCGACCAACAGCACTTCCAACAGCTCAGCTTGAGGCCAGGCAGGACAGCAAATGTTTAACATGAGCACGCATCCCCTAGCAAATGATGAAATTCTCATTCGGCATACCCAAAGCCACAAAACGTACACAAACATACTGCAGGCCCACAATCCTGAGCTGAAAATCTACCTAGCAAACTCCAGCCTGCGCACTTCTTCCTTCAGATTATTCACAGTACTTACGCTGACAAAATCTGTGCCCTATACCGTAAATATGGGGGCTTTGTACTAACAGCTCTCCAGCAAATACTTGCACAACAAAACGTTTCTTTCAGAGGCGCCT